TGAGTCAGAGAGACCAGGAATATCCAAAAGAAGGCCCAATGCCCCATGGAAGCTTGCATTATTTCACAGCTGGGCTTCATCTGAGAACTTCCAAAACCCAAACAAAGAAGAGGAATCTGTATATTTCTCCTTAGCTCCTCCTGGGTGGCCTGAGGCAGAGGCTAAATTAGCACCTCCATGGAGATCCAAGAGCCAGTGTACCAGGGGTCAGAGTAGGTCAATTCCTCCCAGTGATACCAATAACAATCAAGGCTTAACTACAACAAGACTGTGCACACAGCCCACAAATGGGTGAACCAAGAGTGTGTTAGGTGTCAACTTGGGCCCTATAGGACACCTAACACACAAAGCCATTCTATCAACTTTGGGAAGCAACCAAAATGCAGAAACAAAGAAACAGGTCACAAATAAAAGAAATGGAGGAAAGCAAACTACTCTATATCCAAACTGCTAGATATAGAGTTCACAAGCACAGTTATAGGTTCTTCAAGAATCTTCTAGAAACTATCAATAAATTTAGTGAGACCCTTGAGGACATGAAAAGGACCAACTAGAAATTAAGCATACACTGACTGGAATAAAGAATAATATACAGAGATCCAACAGAAGACTAGAGGATCGCAAGAATCAAGTCAAAGATTTAAAATACAAAGAAGTAAAATAAACACCCCACCAGAAAATAAAAAATAAAAAAAATCCAAAAATATGAAGATAATGTAAGGAGCCTCTAGGACAATTTCAAGCGTACCAACATCCAAATTATTGGGGTGCCAGAAGAAGAGAGCAAAATACTTAAAACCTATTTGAAGAAATAATGACAGAAAACTTCCCTCACCTGGTGAAAGAAATAGAATTACAAGTTCAGGAAGCACAGAGAACCCCAAACAAAAGATATCCATGGCACATCATAATTAAAATGTCAAGGAGAAAAGACAAAGAGAGAATACTAAAAACAGCAAGAGAAAAACAGTTAGTTACATACAAAAGAGCACCCATACAACTGTCAGCTAATTTCTCAACAGAAACTATGCAGGCCAGAAGGGAGTGGCAAGAAATATTCAAAGTGATAAATAGCTAGAACCTAGAACCAGATTACTCTACACAGCAAAGCCAACATTGAGACTTGAAGGTCTGATAAAGAGCTTCACAGAAAAGAAAAAGCTAAAGGAGTTCATCACCACCTAACCAGTATTATATGAAATGCTGAAGGGTATTCTTTAAGAAGAAAAAGGTAAAGATTAAAATTATAAACAGCAAAGTAACAACAAATACATATCTAACAACAAATGAATCTAAAAATCAAGTCAATAAAAAAATCTGATTAAAAGAATAATCTGGTGAATATAACAGAATCAGGGGCATAGAAAGGGAGTTGACTGACAATTCTCAGGAGAAAGGGGTGTGGGGATGAGGGAAGAGACTGGACAAAAATCATACACCTGTGGATGAGAAGAGTGTTGGGGATGAGGACATGGGGTGAGGTGGAGTGGGAACCAGGTGGAAGGGAGCTATGGTGGGAAAAATAGGAACTGTAATAATCTGAACAATAAAGATTAAAAAAATTTTTAAATAAATTAAAAAAAACAAAGGTAGAAATAGGTTGTTACAAGAATCAAATTTCAGCCCTAGGTGGTTTGGCTCAGTGGATAGAGCGACAGCCTGCAGACTGAAGGGTCCCAGGGGCACATGCCTGAGTTGTGTGCTTGGTCCCCAGTGGGGGGCATGCAGGAGGCAGCCAAATCAACGATTCTCTCTCATCATTGATGTTTCTATCTCTCTCTACTCCTTCCTTCTCTGAAATCAATAAAATATATTTAATAAAAAAAAAAAGAATCCAAGTTCAGAATCAAGGATAGAGGGCTGTGGTCACGATGTAAGTCAAGATCATATAAGTTGAAATTATCAATAATACAAAGATGTTCAAATAAAGTTACTTTAATAAAGTCTGGACTCATTTTATCAATCTTGAAACAGCAAGTTGTGGTTATTGGTCACGGATAGCCTTCCTCTGATAGAGCTCCATGTGGTATAACATTCTGGGCTCTAGCCTCATCAATTAATCCCTCTCTGGTTGCCTTATTAAGACCTGTGCAAAAGAGCTTCAGTTTGTTTTGTTTTGTTTCTTTCTCCCAAAAAATGAATTAATTTTCCTGTTTCTGTTATCCAACTTTAAAAATATCTATAATTTATTTTTTTACTTTTATCACCAAACTTCTCAAGTAGTTAACATATTGAATTCTATTAATTCCCTCCATGACCCTTTGCAATTTCTCTCTATTCTCTGCCATTCTTAGCAACCTTTTGGCTTCTCAATACAAATATCTATTTTGAGTTTCCATTCTAAAATGTTTAACTCTAATAGCTACACTACACTCTGTTCTAGTTACTTTAAACCCATGACATATCATTATCTGGGTTCCCCCTTAATTTTAAAATTTATTAAAAATATTTTACTATTGGTTTCAGAAAGAAAGGGATAGAAAGAGATAGACATATTTATAATAAGAGAGAATCAGTGATCAGCTGTCTTCTGCATGACCTGCAACCAGGCAGGGCATGGGCCCTACAGCAGGAATCGAACTGTGACCTTCATAGGTTGATACTCAACCACTGACCCACACTGGCCAGACTCTCCCTACCTTTTAGACTATAATTTACCCATTCCCTGCATAGTTTTTTATACTTTGCAAAATTAGTAGAGCTTCCCTGAGATATCATTTATAGCTTTCTAGTTTATTATTTATAAAATCCCCTTCAGATATCTCTTCCATGTGCAAGCTTTTAAAGGCACTCTGTGCCAAGAAATCTCTCATGCGTAGACTTTCCTATTATCCCAACTCTTTCTGGCTATTTTCATCCCACTTTTTGGTTAATGTTCCCCTTTTATCACCACACATCCACCACTCAACATAGAAATCTGTCTTCTTTTCTATCTCACAAATGAACTTGTTATTGCTAACTAACTAGACTTCTGGGTTTTTCAGTCTAATACACTTCAGCCCTTCTTTTACTGGACAATTCTTTGGCAATATCAAGTTGATATTATTTTCTCCTTTGCTTTGTATACATTTTTCTTTTGTACTTTTTTTTTCCTACTTTGCTTTCCTCCTACTGCTTAGGTTTTTCTTGGTTTCCTTTGCTAGATCTTACTTCCCTGCCTGTGTCTGGTCTTCAATTGTGCCTTTCCCCTTACCTGACTTACTGTTTCTTTACACACTACAGTGCTTTAAATATGTATGTCTTAGGACTTGAGAACCCTTCAGCATTTGAACCATGTAACTAAATATTTACTGCATATATATTTACTTGAACACGAGGAAAAACTCTGAGGATTAAATAACACATTCAACATGGCCAACATACACTCTTCACCTTCTCCCCAGACCTGCTCTTCCTCATATGTTGCCTCACCTCTATTTACTTGCCTCCCCACCTTCATAAAAGGCTCTATCCCCCACCCCCTTTTTTAGGACATATCCTAGGATAGCTTATTAATCCATGTTAATATGTTCAAGTCAATACATTATTTCCATTTTACTGATGACAAAACCAAAGCTCAGAAATGTTAAGAAATTTGCCAATACAACATCACCAGAAAATGGCTAAGACAGACTAGTATTTACCTATTACATCCTGCATTTCTGTTATGAATTTCTACTCTGCACACTAAGTCTAGTTCAAATGTGGCTTCTTAATGAAGCCCTCTCTGATTTCCCCAGCCAAAAATGAACTCAGAAGCTTCAACCTGATTTACTTAATTTTAAGATTCCAATTTATAGTACATGTCATTGAGTATTTCTCTTCAAACTTTTAACAGACTTTGTGTCTCTTAAAGGAAAGAACCAACTCCTGCCAAATGGGAAATATTGTTTCTATTGTGGAAAAAGTATAGTTGTTCAATTTGCAAGACTAGAAAAGCTTAAAATTCTATATTTATCCTTAAGCTGCACAACAAAGTTCTCTATTAAAATTAAAAAAAGACAGTATTTATATTTTCCAAAAAGTTTTATTATTCTTAGTGATTTACATTCTGCTTCAGTTCCTTGATACCATTTATATAGTGTCATAGAACTTCTAACACATTCTTAATTTGGATGATTTATAGCAGTTCTTTGGGAATTAAAGAAAGCAAAATAGAAAAGTGAGAAAAAAGCATTACTCAAATAAAGTCACCAGAATGAGAAACACTAACAATAAACCCATGTAAAAGTATGTAATGTCGTGGCCCTACCTAGCACTATATAAAACCAAAAAACTTGAAGCAAGGCAAAAATGACTTGACAATAATCCTTTGCAAGGCAATAGCAAGCATTTTAGAACACAGAGGTGTGTCATCAATCAATAAAAAGCCTTATTTATATTTTGACAAAGTTTCGAAGCTTCCAGCCAAATGAACAGATACAATAAAAATTTTGAGGATGCGGCATCATAAAGTGTATAGTGGTCATTACTTTGCAGTTTCAGACGGTGTTAATTATTTGTCTTAGTACAGATTTCACAGAGCAGAACTAAACTTACTATGTGTTTTTGTAAAAGTAATCATGGCCAGGCAACAAAAGCCTGAGTCAACTAAATCTTTTCTAAGAAGTAAAATTTTAACTTGCAAAAGAATTTAAAGGTTAGTTAAAGAATTCACACTTTTGAATTTATTCTTTATTTATTAGATTCTTTCAGGTCAATGGCATTTTTATACCCCCATAAGATTTCTTAAAACCATCCTGGCCTGTGCCTACATATATATATATATATATATATATATATATATATATATATATATATATATATATATATATATACATACAAATATTCTCAGCAATTAACTGGACAGTACCGGGTGAATGCAATGAGCCAGAAATTCACTGTGCTAACCACAATTAGTGCTGATGAGTTGTATACTTAATTTCCTCTTGCTGCTCTTAATTTTCAACTTCTCTGTGAGATCTATTCCGCTGCATTTCATTTTAACACCCTGCCCCCAACTCTTGACAAGTTTTCCTTACCTCAGTAATGAAGGATTTGGCTGTGGCGGGATTCATAACAAGGATGGCTCTCCTAAGAGTGTCTCGATAGCGATTCAATTCCTCTATTCTCAGGGTATCAAAGAGAGTGGTGATCATCTTATTGATGTTGTTTTCTACCTTTTGAAGTGCGACATCCATCCCCTGCTGAGATACTCTGTCCAAAAACTCCTGTATTCCACGGATATCTAGGAACATCAAAATCCCATCAGAGTGTGGATTAGAGCAGAGAAGGGAGACAAAAATGATTTCATTTATATCAGAGTGGTTTATTGTTCAACACTGTAGGCTGTCTAAAACTGCTAACCAATTAGCAGGTGATACTTTCAAACATGTTTAAGATTTAGCATGATTTACTGTGTTTAAGTAAAAATTGCAGAGATTATTACTTTTAAGGTGAATTTCTTTTTCTTCACTGGACATTCTGAACTATCTCACCTGTGGTAAATGTTAGGCTAGGATCCTCTCACTTCCCTAATGCAGTTGTCAGAAAAAGAAAGTACACTTCCGATTTTTCCTCAGCATTAAAGAATTGATATCAACTTCAGGTAAAACATGAATATCATTAATGAAATAATTATAATCAAGATTGATAACATTTATTAAAATAAGGCAACAATATCACGACTACTAGCAAACTTGACGATCTAAATGGAGAGTTTTGAGGAGTTATCCAAAGGGTCTTGGGTCACTTAGGCCACGAATAAAATAGCTTTTATTTTGTCTGTTTTATAAGAACCACCTCCTTAGCTCAAATTTGGCAAACAGGGGAGGAGATTTTTTTCTTATCAGGAGTTGATGTGAATCAGTTTCACTTAGAAATATTTAGGTCTAGTAATAATTAATGTCTTTTTCTAATACTTTTTTAAATCGAATTTATTTAAACAATACAACAAAATTTAATCAACAATATAGTTGCCGTTGTTTTCTACTACTTGTGCCCAATGCTCAGGAAGCATTTTAATCCCTCTCTTGTAAAATTCTTGTGATTTTGATGCAAAAAATTCAGTCAATGCATTTTTGAGGCATTCTTCATTATTAAATTTTTTTCCAAGAAGAAAGTTTTGCAAAGAACGAAACAAATGGTAATCGGAAGGGGCAATATCAGGAGAATATGCAGGTTGAGGGAGAACTTCCCATTCCAACTGGCACAGTTTTTCAGCAGTGATTCTTGCAGTATGCGGTCGTGCGTTATCCTGGTGAAGAATTACGCCCTTCCGATTAATCAGCGTGGGTTCTTTTTCTCTTAAAGCTTGGGCTAACCTTTCCAATTGGGCACTATACACTGCACTTGTAATGGTTTGGTTAGATGGTAAAAGTTCATAATGAAGAATTCCTTTTAAATTCCACCAAACACACAACATCACTTTTTTCGCATGCAAGTCAGGTTTTGGCGTGGGCTGCAGAGCCTCATTTTTGTCCAACCATTGAAGCCGCCTTTTCAAATTAACATACAGCACCCATTGTTCATCTCCGGTAACAATTTGTTCTAAAAACGGCAAACGGTTTTGATGAGAGAGGAGCGAACTGCAAATTGTGACTCTTTGATTACGGTTGTTGTTGGTCAACTCATGAGGAACCCATTTTCCAAACTTTTGGACTTTGCCAAGTGCACGCAATTGATTGGAAATTGTTTTTTTTGTGAACAATTTAGTTGTCACAAGCTCTTGTTGGGTAATTTGAGGATTTTGCACCAAAAGAGCTTGAAGAGCTTCTTGATCAAAATTGGACACAGGGCCTCGACCACTCTTGTTATCTAACAAAAAATTTCCCTCGCAAAATTTCTCAAACCAACGCTGGCATTTTCTGGCGCTAACTGCATCTTGACCAAGAGCACTACAGATGTTTTTTGCAGCCTCACTTGCTTTTCTTCCTAATTGGAACTCGTAAAGCATGCAGTGCCGAATATGCTCTTCATCCGCCATCTTCTTAGCCCTAGTTTTGCAACAAAAACCAAACCAAACACAAACTTTTTCAAGCAAAACTTGTTATTTGCACTTCACACATTCTGTAGATACCACGTGTTTGAAGGTTATGTCAATACAAGTCAACGCCAAGCAAAATTTTAAATGAATGTTTTAAAACGACATTAATTATTACTAGACCCAATATATATATAGTGTATATATATATATATATATATATATATATATATATATATATCCAGAACCAATATGCTTTTAAAATACATGTCCAAAAAAATTATTTCTATGTGAATCTAAATATAAAAAATGAGGACATTGGTAATACTTCTTTTTATGGCATTTTTTTTCTTTATTGATTAAGGGATTACATATGTGTCCTTATCGCCCCATTGCTCCCCTCTCCTCCCCCACTGGTGTCTGTGTCCATTAGTTCGGCTTACATGCATGAGTACAAATCCTTTGGTTGATCTCTTTCCCTACTCCCAGCCTCCCCTACCTTCCCTCTGAGGTTTGATGGTCTGTTTGATGCTTCTCTGTTTCTGGATCTGTTTTTGTTCATAAGCTTATGTTGCTCATGATATTTCACAAATGAATGAGATCATGTGATATTTATCTTTTTCTGACTGGCTTATTGCTTTTAACACTAAAAATAAATTTAAAAAATAAATATAAAACAAAATAAAAAAATACACTGAAATAAGTAAATATGCTCAGAAAACACTGTGTGACCAGAGCATAGGCTCCAGATATGTATGCTGTGGGAAATGCTTTGTTCACAGAAATAATGTATCAGTGCAATTTCATATCTTAACTTTGAAGTTCTAAAAATATTTATTGTATATGGGACAGGATGTTGTATACAGGTAATACAATAGTGAATACCTTTTGCCACATTGAGATAGACAATAAACAAGTAAACAACGAATACACACAAATCACATTAGTGCTTGAAGGAAACAGTAAGGGTATCCTGGGAGATAATGCCATGGCAGGGAGGGGGATCTGTTTTAGTTTCTCTGGAAATCTGTTTTTTAAACTGCTTGAAAGGATGAGAAGACACCACCTAGACAGAGAGACAGGAAGTGAGGACAACAGCATGGAGAAAATGCCTGAGGGCAGCAAAGAGTTCGAGTTTGAAGGTGAAGGAGTCTGGTGTGGGTGCAGCCTGGTCCGTGGGGAGGGCAGAGGTAGGTGAAGCTCCCTGTGGACTGTGGGTCAGACAATGTGGGCCCCGGTGAGACACAGAGAGGTTTTGCTTTTATTCTAAATACGGTTTTTATCTATTGAAGAATTTAAGTAGAGGATCAAAGGGGATGACAGGCTATGTGTGCAGTATGAAAAGCAGTGTAAGTCTGAGAGTGACTTAAGATAGTCCGACTCAGATGGAGTTTGTAAGTGATATCCCCTTGATTTAAAACATTCTTACAGTTTTTAGCTTTTATTTTTGAACAAAAAGTAAGTTTTATATGTATAGTTATTGGGGCAGAAAAGTGATGTGATAATATATTATTAGTATCCCTCTGCTTCCTTATTCTGGAATTCTGGTGATCATTGCCTAATGCATGTTATTGTAAAAAAAAATTAAAAATCTCTTTTTTGTCCTTTTTATTAATCTATTGGGCTGACATAGATTAAAAAATATACAGTTTTCAGGTGCACAATTCTAGAACAGATCATCTGTATACTGTATTGTGTGTTCACCACCCCAAGTCAAGTCCCTATCACCATTTATTGCCCCTAGACCCTCATAAATCTATATCCACCCTCCAAACCCTGGGAATTACCATAAAATATTTCTGATCTCTAAATAAAGAAATATTTTTTCATAGATGTCTTATAAGATCATATTAGTGAGGACATGTGTGTGTATGTATGTGTGTGTGTGCCTATCAATCACATGGTGGTTACTATTATCCTATTTAATAAAAAGGTAATATGCAAATTGAACCTAACAGTGGAAGAACTGGTAGCTATAATGCACACTGACCACCAGGGGGCAGATGCTCAATGCAGAAGCTGCCCCCTGGTGGTCAGTGTGTTTCCACAGGGAGTGCTCTGCTCAGCCAGAAGCCAGTTCATGGCTGGACATTGCAGCGGTGGTGGAGGGAGCCTCTCCCACCTCTGCAGCAGTGCTAAGAATGTTCAACTCACGGCTTAGGGGAGCGAGCCTAAGCCATTCGTCAGACATCCCCAGAGGGCTCCCAAGCTGCCAGAAGGATGTATGACTGCCAGCTTAGGCCCCATCCCCCAGAGAGTGGGCCTAAACCAGCAGGTGGACATCCACAGAGGGATCCCAGACTGTGAGAGGGCATAGGCTGGGCCGAGGGACTCCCGTCCCCACACTCTCTCGTGAGTGTACAAATTTTTTTGTGCTGGACCTCTAGTTATTAATAATGATACATAACTACTTGTTAAGAGTAACCTCCCCTGTCCATTTGGAGAGAACTGCCTAAAATTGAATGATGGCTAGCTACCCAAAATAGCAAGCATAATGTTTTAGACTCTTGGAATGCAGGAGTTAAATAATAATAGCTTTGCTTCTTTGAAAATAATATCAAACATCCGTGATATGTGGCAACTGGTAAGAAGAATCTGAACCTATTAGCTGCTCTGTGGAAAATCATCATTAAAAGAGCACAGGCCTCTGGTATTGTTAATTCATGAACACAATCAACCATTGCCATTATTTAACTACATTATCTGTATGCCTATTAGTTAGCAGGAAATGAAAATAAAGGCACCTGACCTCAAGGAGCTTCCAGGCCTGTGGGTGTGACTAAGTGTTCCTTATTAATAGCAGTAAATTAAATAGTCAGTAGGTCTCAGCCATTACTAATTCTATTGACCAGATAATTGTATAACAAGTAATGGAAGAAAGGTTCATTAACTAAGTTATTAAAAATAAAACTAGGGGAAAAACGAAGAAGACATTTTTCTGTGCATTATAAAGGAACTGTGGTACCTAGGTTAATGACCTGCCAAAGATGCCCAAGTCTTAATCCCTGGAATCTGAGAATAAGCTAGGTTATCTAGAAAATGGAATTAATGCTCCAGATCACATCAAAGGTCTTTATCAGGTGAGCTTAAGATGCGGTGAGAGCTGGTATTATTTGGTTGGGTCTAGTGTAATCACAGGGTCTTTAAAACTGGAAGAAGGAAGCAGAAGAGAAGAGTCTGAGGGAGATCTGGCTACTGAAGAATTAGTTGACTTTGGGGAAATTTCAAAGAGGCAATGTTGCTGGCTCTGATGAAGGGGTTATAGA